TGTATTCACCCTATTTCGTGTAAGGTGATGAAGAACTGGTAGTAGAATTTTCCCACAATGATATGAGTTGCTTTCGCAACTCAGTCAGAGCGTCAGGGAGACCTTGTGTATTCGTGATCTCCAGCATTAGACCATTGGTTGGGTACCTTCCAAACGTTTCGCCGGCATCGTCAGTGAGAGGCATCATCGTAAGCACAGAGTGACAAGTTATCAAAGTGACAAGTGAAAGCACTTGCCTTGATACTGGCCTACCGTTCATTTCGTTTGAGAAAGCGGGTCGAAGCGATTTGTAGATTGGCCTCACCGGATATCGTAGGAGGATTGCCTTGCAATTGTGTCTTTTGAATTGTGTGAAGAAGATCTCGATGACTTCGCCCGTCCTTTGACGGACATCGGCAGAGCCAGAAACCATTATCCACGAGAAACCACCAAAAGAGACTAAACCAAAAAAGCTGGCCAGCTGAGATCCGACATGCTTCTTTTACCTCAATTTGCGATCTTGATGAGGCATTGCATGATTTGGTTGGCTGACGTATGCTCGTCAAAGTGGTACAGGCAGGGGAGCGGATCTGGTCACAACTTTTGTCAATGTAAATAAAATAGAGTATGATCCGGTTGTCCTGGGTCTTGTTATGACTTCGTGGATTCATGTTTGCATGTGTATGCAACAACCCCGAATTAGTTGACAATTTTAGGTTTAGAAACAAGCTCTAGTTTAGTCAAGTCTTCTCTTACTCAGTGGCTCTTCCTGTTCCTTGTCCTTCTCTCTCTCCCCCTCTCTCATTCCATTTAGAAGCCAGAAATCGCTCTTAGTTTCCTACCTTGGTAAGGGATAGCCGAGAGAATAAATACAAAAAAACATGCAGGTCATGAAGAGCCGGTGAAAGAAAGATAACTATGGGGAATGACTCACAAAAGTGGATATGTCTCCATTCCTGTGAACTGGCTCAAAATCTACGGCCAATGCCGAGAAAATGGAATATTCGGGAGGCCATGAAAGAGAAATCAACACTTTACACAATTCTACCGACGCAGCATGAGAGGGTAGATAAATTGGATTGCTCAGGCGTTTACTGCACAGCATGCAGTGTCTGCGAACAGAAATACATTGGCGAAACTGGGAGAAAAATCGGCATGCAAATGAAGGAATCTAAAAGTCTTTGCAGGAAAGTGGATACTGAAATATCAGATATAGCGGAACAGGTCACAGAAACTGGACACGAGATCAATTGGAAGGCAGCAGAAAGAAGGGCCTCATACAGTGAAAGCAAAAAGAAACGAAAGATGAGTGAGGCCATTGATATTCTTGGTGAAAAAATGTAATTAACATGTTGGAAGATACGTTTAGAAGAAGGCAGAGTCAGTTTAACTTTGTCTATCGCCCAATCAAACTCGGAGAAAACAGAGATCCAACAAGACAAGCAAAAAGGAGACGCCTTGATCAACGATCTATCGCAGACCAGAGGAAAAAGGATCACAAGGAAGAAGAGGATGGAAAGGTTTCGAAAATGAAGCGAAGACGTTTTCAGTGAGAGTATTCAGCTCGAATAAACAATTACAACTTAGGGGCCCGACGTTTCATGTGACTATGGAGGGGGATTGGGTCACATAAATCGGGCATTGTGACAAATGGGCAAACAATCCTCTTGAGATGCAGCAGACGACGAGAGATAGATGTCCACAGTTTGCTCAGGGTACATGGTCTTAATCGACGAGAGGATGCATGAAGACAATGCCTAATATCTGCAAGCATGGGAATCATAGCCTATGCACTCTGAAGATAAGTCGACTTTGTAGGCGCTACTGAAGGCTTGAGAAATAGAACTTGGAACCGAGTAAAATGGGTCGACCAGGAAGAGAAACAATGCACCTACGGGCCCATGAGGCAGATCCGGACAGGATACTAAAGCAGGATCAGCCACTCGAAAGGGAGGGGGGCAAGGCAAGCAGCAAGTGTGATGACGTCACGGTAAATTCGCCAAAAACATGTCATGAGTTGTGATAGGACGAGGGCGAGATTAGAGACCGATTCGATAGAAAGTTGGTCAACGGATTGACTTGACTTGTCACTAAAATGAGTTCTAGTTTGGTGCTGAGAATGGCAAGTATCAATGACGATGTCGGCGAAATGTCTGGGAATGTACCAAGTCCACAGTCCGACGCTGTAAATGATCATACACACAATGGACTCAGGACTAGGTGCGTTCCTCTAAGTCTTCCTACCAATATGGCCAAGTTGCGAAAAGAAGGTCAAACAACTTGATCTATAATTTGGGTTTACTGAAATCATCTGCTTTACAAATACACAGAATGAGTCAATTTGGACATGGTACATACCTCACTGAATGTTGCCAGTGGGATGGGCAGTCAGAATGCAGTTCCCACCGCACCCAGCCAATTATCCAAGAATGCAGAGAGACCTGCTGTCTGCAGATCATCGGTTGCGTAAACTTGCCCGATCGGATTGGGCAATGGTCCATGTGTGGAAGTGGCGAAGACGGGCGCCTGAAGCAGTCCAAGTTCCATCTTCCCTTTCGTCAACAACTGAAGCCTTGACACCGTGATTACGAATACCGCTACTGATACTCGGACCTGTAACGTGTTGGTGACGCTCAGAATTAGACTGACTTAAGTTGGAGATCCATTGACTGTGGCAAAATTTGTCTTGGCTTCGTCAGTCTGACACGCGAAAATGTGGTTAAAAGCCGGTCTTGAAGTAGGCTTGATGAAGGGATTGACTTCACTTGTCGCCTTGACAAGTTGTAGCTTGGTTGCTTAGACTGACATGACTTACTGACGCTGCCTGCGAAACATCTGTGAATGTACCAGGTCTAGAGTCCTACTCTGGAAGTTAGCATTCATACTATGGACCTCGGACAAGGTGCGCTCCTCTAAGTCTTCCTACCAATATGACCAAGTTGCGAAAACAAAGTCAAACAACTTCTATACAGCTCATATAGTTGAATTTTCCAACAATCACATGTGTAGGCCTCATGTTTGCATTGAAGTTTACACAACCAAAAGGTATTCTTATCAAGGCTGGAGTAGACAGCCGTTTCAACCTCGCCTAAATCTATTCAGATGATTGTGGGAAAACTCAACTACATGTCCTTCATCATCCTATGCTACCTGAAAGTAATGTTAGGAGAAGCTGGATTACAAAGAATTCCTTTGTAGAACGATGCTGTAGCTTATCTTTTAGTTCGTTTGAAGAGGCGGGTGGAATGAATTCGTAAATTGGCCTCAACAGCTACTGATGGAGAATTGACTTGGACCTGTGATTGTTGGATTGCGCCAAGAAGATTTCTGCATACTATCTTTCGACTCCGATGAATCCGTGCCGAACTATCGCCCGTCATGTAATGGTCATTGAAAAAGCCAGTAAATAGTATTTACGAACAATCACCCAAAAGGCACTAAGCCAAGGAAGTTCAACTTAGAAAACGATGGTCTCCATACGTACGGATTGTTCAGTAATTTACTGCTTAGCATGGAGCGCCTGTGAACATTAATGTATAGATGAAACTTGAATACAAATCAGCATACGAATCAAGGAACATCAAAGGCTCTGCAGGAAAATGGACACCGGAAGATCAAAATTAGCGGGAAACATCGCACAGATTTGCCACGTGATCAATTGGAAAGGAATTTGAAGAAGGGCCCCATACGGTGACGACATAAGGAAGCGGAAGATTAGGGAGGCCATTGACATAATTGGGGAGAAAAGTCCAATGAACGGAAGATTGAAGGCAGGTAGAGTTAGCGTTAATTTGGCCTATTGCTGAAGCAAACTCCGGGAAAACAAGAATACAGCAAGACTAGCAAAAAGGAGACGCCTGGATCAAGGAAAAGGGATCGCGATGAGAAAAGTGGGGAGGAATTTCGGCAATCAAGCGAAGAGTGTGTCAGTGATTGATGTCTGTTAAAATAAATCACTTTGGGTGCCTGGTGGTCACGGAACTAGGCAGACGGATAAGCACAACCATCATAGAAATCCGGCATTATGGACAAAATGTACTAGAAATCCAGTTGAGAAGCCGCAGGCGACCAGGGATAGCGACCATAGTTTGTTCAGGCAACACGGGTTTAATCAAAGCAATGCCTAATATCTGCAAGCATGGGAATCACAGCCTAGGCGCTCTTTTCTCTGAGACGACAGTTTACACGTTTCTCAGGAATTGAGAAATAGCGCCTGGAGTAAAAAGCACACTTGGACTGGAACCAAGTGAAATCA